AGGGTGGTGAGAGCCTGGCCCAGGCTGCCCAGGGAAGCTGTGGCTGCCCCATCCCTGGCAGTGTTGAAGGGCAGGTTGGATGGGGCTTGGAGCAACCTGGGCTGGTGGGAGGTGTCCCTGCCCATGCAGGGGTGGGACTGGATGATCTTTAAGGTCCTTCCAACCCAAACCAGTCTGGGATGCTGTGGCTCTATGGTTCAGTTCCAGGACACACCTGAGGACATGACTGGCTGTAGCTCCCCAGGCAGGATGACCCCTTGCACTGGGCAGAACTGGGCCTGGTACCCCCTGTCGTGCCGTGGAGCCTCCCCTTGGCTTCCCCAAAGGGCTTTAGGGAGCTCAGCCCCAGGGTCACCATCTGGGAGGAGAGGAGCCCTTGAAGATATCTCTGCACCCTCCTGGTCCTCATCAAGCCCAATGGAAGAAGCCCCCAAACAAGCTCAAACCAACCCCCAATCTCCAGCCCCACTGTGCAGGCTGGTGTTCCCATGGCAGGGCCCTGGATTGGGTGGTGGCTTCTGTGCATCTTGGCCACCCCCTGAGGAGGTCAGTGTCCTCCAGAGGAGTCTTAATAACTTTCAGAGCAGGGTTGAGCAACCCAAACAGCAGATCAGCTGTTCCACCAGGGCCGGGGAATTCCTGTGGCTGCAGTTTCAGTATCTCACTGTTGAGCCATGTTTAGTCTGTGGCTATAAAGTAGCCTTGTTGCTATTCTGAGAGCATCTGTCTAATCAGGGGTCCAAGGAATTCTTTTTCTCAGTAGAAAGTTATGTTTATTTGGATAAGTTCATGCTGCGGGGTGGGTGCTGTGGAGCAGCCCAGCACAGGCTGTGCATTGCTGGAACATCCACAGCACTTCCCTGGATGCTGTGGGTGAGGAGCAGTGCTGGCCCAGGGACAAAGTGAGGGACACCCACACTGCTCATCAGCTTCTCCCAGGACATCTCCAGCCAAGAGCTGCTTGGCAACTTGGGCAGTATTTTCCTGTAGCTGCTGTTTTCAGAACTTCTCTTTGCTGTTGGCAGTCACAGATGACCCCAATGCTCTGGCTGCCACGTTCAGAAGCTGGTGAAACCCTGAGCTGATGGCACTTGCAGGGTCAAGGCTCATCACCTGGGACAGGTAAGTGACTTACCAGCCTCCCCAAGACCTTCTGATTCATCCCAACCTCCTCAGCCCTGAGGGAGTGGCAAAACTCAGGACCTCAAGACATTTTTCCCAGCAACCTTTTTCACCTGTGGGGTCATGGCATTTTTTGGAACCTAACAAAGCACTCAGCACTTTCTGGTGATTATTCCCAAGTTTCAACCCTTTCCCTAGGGAACTTTGCCTCGTGGCTGCCCTCAGCATGGTGAGCTTCATCCCACGACTGACCTGAGAGCACCCGTGTCTGGCTGGACTTTACCCTGTTTGCTCATAGCAAACACACCTGAGTTGTGACCACTTGCAACTCAGCAACCACGAATTTTTAGCTTTGGGATCAGTCCTTGTTATCTGCCCAGATAAGGGCTGCTGCTGTGTCCTCCCCTCTTTGGAAGGCACCAGTTCCAGCACTGGGAAATTGCCTCTGGTCACAGTGGGAAATGGGCCTCAGGGTGAGCCTGACACAGGTGGTGGCTCCTGCCACCCTGTGCCACCCATCACCTCCATGGCTTGGGTGCAGGTCATGACTTTATCCTCTGCAAAAGGCCACTTCTCCCTCCCCAGGGCTATCTGGGAACATCCCTCCAGCTGCCAGCAATGCAGGTTGGTTTGAGGCTGTGCCTCAAGTCAGGAATTAGGAACACCCAGTTCCCAGCTTCAGTGCTCATCACAGTGGCATCAACAACTTGATGTCTTTGTGTCCCTTGCAGCCTGATTTGGTTTCACCTTAGCATCTGATCTTGTGCTAAATGACACTTCTGTCCCCCTTCTGCTCGTGCTGTAAGCTCAGTGCCCCCAGAACAGCCCCAGCAGCTACCCCCCCCCCCCCCCCTGGAAAAGGAGCTGCTCAGCACAATGGGACTGTATCTCCATTCTGACCAGTGTCCTCACACACTAAACCCCCTCCATGAGCTGGCATCCCCTGTCCAGTTCCCAACCAGATGCTCCCAAGTTTCTCACACCCTTCACTCTGCAGCACAAAGTCTTGGAGAAGATGGTACAGAGGGAACAAAGCTGTGGTGTCCACTGCAGGGTCCATGATGAGACCTGTCCTGTTGTAGAGGGACATCCTGGCAAAACATGGGACAAGCACCTGGCATTTCCAGCTCCCACCCCAGCTCTGCCTGTCCCAGCAGTCCAGCTCCTCCCAGAAACATGGGGATGGTGTTTGCAGAGTGACTCACACTAACCCGGCCTGTGGCAATAAATTCTCTTACAGCCATAACCAGATTTCTGCCTCTCCCACAGGGCTATTCCTGTTTTCTCCAGGGAGTCCCCCCAGGTCCCCATTTCTCTGCCTCTCACACCCAACAGTGCCTCTGTCCCCTGCAGGGACCATCCCCAGGCAGGTCAGTGGTGGTTATTCCAAGTTGTGCACCAGGTTCCTGCACTGTTTGTCCCCAGAAGCTCCAGCCTTTGCTGCCAGACGAGCCAAACAGGCTCAGATTGTTCACAGAAAGTTCAAGGGTTTGGATGCTCCTGGGCAGCACCAGTGGCTACAGGAGGACTCACTGGGCTGACATTCAGGGCACAGAGAAGGTGTTGAGGAAGCCCCTGACCTGCCTCTCCCCATCGTGCTGCCCTGGGAGGAGCGGGAGCACAACCAAGGGACCCTGCAATGAGTTTCCCAGCAGTGATGGCTGAGACTGAGGGGAGGTCAAGAGGGCAAGGGTGATGGAGAGAGGGGAGGAAGGGCAAGAAAATCTGTGAAGGGAAACTCTCCAGACTGGGAAGGGGAGGAGATCACAGAATCGTCAAATCACTAAGGCTGGAAAAGATCTCCAAGATCATCAAGTGCAACTGTCAACCCAACACCACCATGCCCACCAAGCCATCACCCAAAGCACTACGTCTACATGTCTTTTGAACACCTCCAGGGATGGTGACTCCAGATGAAGACTCTCTGCAGTGCTGGGAGAAAGAGAAGGCCCTGCCCTGGAGGAGCCAGCTGGAAACCAGTGCTCACAGGGAGGCTGCACCCACTCACTGGGTCCCAGGGACAGTGACAGGGTCACAGCTGGGACACCAGCCCATAGGCCTCAACCCTGCGGTACCAAAAGCACCCCCAGGAGAGCCACAGAGGCATCCCATCAACCCTGCTGCCTCTAGCCAACCCCATGAAGGAGCTCTCAGCTCTGCCTCAGTTTCCCCACCTGGCAATCACCTGCTGGTTGCTTAAGGAGGGCAGTTCCCCAGCAGGGATGGCATCTGCCAGGGGGAGCTGTGCCTGGAGGGAACAGACCCACCACCTCCACCCCTGGGCATCAGCAACAGCACCTCTGTCCAGGCCAGCCCACAGCCCCCAGCACTGCACATCTGAGCCACCCAAGGCTGACCACAAGCACGTGACAGGCACAAGATATTTCAGCTCCCAACCACACCATGAAGGGCCTTTACCAAAGGTTTTCACCAGCCCCAGGAGCTGCTGGGGGAGTAGCCACCCCACCAAGGCACACAGCCAGGACCTGAAACATCACCCACCACTGGGCTTTCAGTGGCTTCTTTTGGTGTGTTCCCACAGGCACCCAGAGCCACACGAGGTCACTCGTTTCTGCGCATCTCCATGCTCAGAGGCCCCAGTGTGTTCAAGCAGTGAACACTCTCCCTGGGAACAGCCTCATTTGGGGCAAAACTCTGTGTTCCTGCAGGGCTACACCCAGGGCTGACCTCAGGAGCACCTGGCGGCTGCTCCCTCACAAAACACAGCTCAGAAATTCACACAACCAGGTTTTCCCATCTCTAGTTGTACAGTCACAGGGTTTCAGGCCCCTGGGTGAAGCTCAGCTCAGTTCCACCAGCGCCGAGAAACACGCCAGGAAGGAAAGGCAGCTACAAGGAATGATATTCTCCTTTTATTTACCTACGACCATGACAATGTATTTTTGCTAGCTGCAGAGATGCTTGGCACTGTCAGCTGGAGGCAGCACGTCCACCCAGCTCAGCCAGGGTCAGCAACAACCCCCACCTCTCAAAACACACCATGGTCCTCCAGAGTAAGGAGAGCGTCTGGTTCGCGGAGCTGCTCTTCTCCATCACCAAACTCTCCGTCGTCAGGGCATGACACACCCCCCGGCTCCCCCGGCGGCCCCGCTGCCAGGGGATGGGTTTGCATCAGAGAAAACCTGCTAACTTAGAAAACGTCCAACGCACTCAGCAATCAAAAAAAAAAAAACCCAAAAGGCATCCACTCGCTGCGAGCTCCGCCGCGACACACGCAAAATATTGCACTTGTAGTTTCGGGAAAGGACACGAGGATTTCCTATTACATGGCAAGGCGTCCAGCTACAGGAGGTCAATAAATAAACCAGGGGTGGGAGCAGGAGGCTTTGCAGGCCTCTGGGGAAGGAGCCGGCGCTCGCCACGAGCCGGGATCCCGCGGGAAAGCTGCTCGGGGGAGCCGGGAGGCATCGCCGGCACGGGGCAGCACAGCAGCATCGCGGGGCGGGTCCGGTACCCAAGTCTTTTATTCCAGGGAAGATGTTGATGTCGTCCCCTCGCAGGAGCCCCGCACAAAAGTCCTGGCCAAGTCGGGATCCCTCGTTGCCTTCCCAGCACCACTCACAGCTCGTGCTTCACAGTAGTCTCGTGGGCGCTTCCCTCCTGGCTCAAACCCACGCCAGAGTCACCCCGGAGGCGTCGTACCAGCGAGACGGGGCGATGGAGCAGTTCCAGACTGCTTGGCTTGTTGGTCCCTTCAGCCTCATGCTCGGTGCCACCAGCTGCCCCAAACCCTTGGGCTGCCAGAACCCGGCCCGGGGGCGCGGGGGGCAGCAGGAAGGCGCGCTCCCCCCGGCCCCTCCGCCGCCCCATTTCATGTAAACACGCAGTTCCCAGCCTGCCCCAGAGAGCCCGTGGGCCTACAGCGGGGAGCTGCCCTTCTTCTGGTTGATTATGTCCAAGTACAAGTCGGAGCGCAGGAAGCGGGGGTAGGAGTCCTTCTCCATCAGCCCATAGATCCTCTTCTGCGCCAGGTCGAAGCAGCTGCGGGTGATGTTCTGCAGGTTCTCCTTGGTGTGTTCCCGCGTGTAGGAGTCCAGGTTGACCTGTGGGCAGAGAGACCAGCCCAGTGAGAGGCCCCACGGGCAGCTGCCATGCCCCAGAGCCCCACACCTGCAGGGGAAACAGCCCTCACCTCCTTGCAGGACTGGATAGCAATGTACTCAGCAAAGATCTTCTTGGCTTTGGAGACCATCTTGGACTGGGATTTGATCTTCTTGAACTCCTCACAGGCCAGCCAGAACTCCAGGTTCTCCTCGCTGAACTCGGTGCGCAGGAAGGCCCTGAAGGCAGCGAGTCCATCTGCAGGGACAGACACACGTCTCCACTCTCAGCTCACCAGTGGGGAACAGCCCCGTGAGACCCTCAGCCCAGCCACCTTGCAAAGATGGCACCTAAGCTACTTCCCAGCCCTGTCCCCTAAACAACCCCCAAGAGCCCCTGTGCCGAGCAGGCAGTGACCGTTGCCAGCAGAGGCACCGCAACGTGAGCCACTCGTGTGCTGAATCCACAGTTCTCAGCCCAGCTGCATGCATGAAGAGCTGGGAGGGGGAGGCTGGGATTGGAGCAGGGGCAGCAACGGGGGGAGGACTCCCCTGTGGGGACATGATCACAACATGGGGCACCCCAGCTGTGACACACAAGAAGAGCAATGGGCTAAAGCAGGATCCACTGCCCCGCTCAGGCACGAATCCCTGCCGTTTCCTCCCTGGTCCCTATCCCAAAATCCCCCCCTGGGCCAGGCAGGAGCAGACAGGCTACAGACAAGGGGCAGCCACATTTCTCATTGTCTACCCCCAAACACAGGAAAGGATTAAGATAGGAAATCCCAGCTTTATCCATGCACGTGTCAGGACGTTCCCCCGGCAGGAAAACACTTACATTTGTGCAGCAGCAGCTTCTCCAGGGAGTCCCCCCACTTGAGAGCTTCCTCAGGAGTGGGCCTGCAGGAGAAGGACAGTGTGTTGGCAGAGCCCAGCTGCCAAACCCGCACTCGCTGCCTGCCAGGATGCAGCAGGAGCAGAACATTTCCAGATGGGAAAGGAATTCCGTGTGCCCGGGGGGGGGCAGCTCCCGCATCAGCACCAGCATCACCAGAGCACCCATGGGCAGAGCCAGGCAGCACCACGGGGGCTCTGCTGGAAGGAAGCTCCTGCCTTTAGGCAGGCAGGAAGAAATTCCAACATAAAAGGGGCTGTGCGGGCAGTGCTGCCACTCGGGGAGTCTGAGCAAGAACTGGAAGAGCTCTGGGAGGTGCCTGGGAGCTCTGGGATGGGGGGATTTCAGCTGCCTGGCTCAAGCAGCTGGGTAAGCCGCTGGGCATGAGAGCTGGGAGGGCTGGTCTCTGGCTGCTGGAGCATCTCCAGAGCCGAGTGGTTTTTCAAAACATCCTCCAGGCAGTTCAAGTTTCCCATCCAGGCACTGGGAGAAAGCAGCACGGGGGGAAATTTCCAGCCAGGACCGCGGCGGTGACC